CGGCCCATCCCAGCTGGAATTGGGGATCCAGAGGGAAAATCCCGGCCCTGTTCAGCCATCCCGGGCTGGGAGCCCCAGAACTGCCCCCGAAAGCTGGGATGGACAGATGGACACGGCCAGGTCACCACTGCTCACCCTCCCCTTGCCAAGGACAGCCCTGGGCTGTAATTAACCCTAATTAGCACGAGCTGCACGACGAGGTGGGGAAGGATTCCCGGATGGATGGATCCCACTGCGACACAAAGGGGTTTAATTATCAGGGATGGTTTTCCATCAGCGCTGTAATTAAAGGGTGCCAGAATTGCCAGGAATGCAGGATGGGAACAACTCCCACCATTCCCAGGAATGCAGGATGGGAACAACTCCCACCATTCCCAGGGATTCAGGATGGGAATAACTCCAGAATTCCCAGGAACGCACAATGGGAATAACTCCAGAATCCCCAGGAATTCAGGATGGGAATAACTCCACCATTCCTAGAGATTCAGGATAGGGAATAACTCCAGAATTCCTAGGGATTCAGGATGGGAATAACTCCAGAATCCCCAAGGATTCAGGATAGGGAATATCTCCAGAATTCTCAGGGATCCAGGATAGGGAATATCTCCAGAATTCTCAGGGATCCAGGATAGGGAATAACTCCAGAATTCCCAGGAATTCAGGATAGGGATAACTCCAGAATTCCCAGGAATTCAGGATGGGGATAACTCCACCATTCCCAGGGATTCAGGATGGGAATAACTCCAGAATCCCCAGGAATGCACAATGGGAATAACTCCAGAATCCCCAAGGATTCAGGATGGGAATAACTCCAGAATTCCCAAGGATTCAGGATGGGAATAACTCCAGAATTCCCAGGAATTCAGGATGGGAATAACTCCAGAATTCCCAGGGATTCAGGATGGGAACAACTCCAGAATTCCCAGAGATTCAGGATGGAAATAACTCCAGAATCCCCAGGGACTCAGGATGGGAATAACTCCATCATCCCACCCTGACTGCTGGGAAAGCCCAAATCCAGGCTGGGAATTTGGCCTGCACTGGGACAGAAGGGAAAAGCGACGGATCCCAGGCTGGATTTGGGATCCACGTGGAGAAACACCACAGGAATCCAGTGGAGAAAGCAAAACCCCACTGGAGCTCCCAATGGGGCATTTCCAGAGGAAGGGATGCCCAAACCAGCCTGAAACAGC